TTTTATTCAACATGGTACTGGATGTCCTAGCCAGAACTAGGCAAGAAAAAATAAGTAAATAAAAGGCATCCCAGTTGGAAAGGAAGAAGTAAGATTCACTATTTGAGCCGATGTGATATTATATATAGAAAACCCTAAAGATTTCATTAGGAAAACTGTTAGAATAAATTAATTCAGTAGAATTGCAGGATACAAAATCAATATACAAAAATCCGCTGCTATCAGAAATGAACTATCAGAAATAGAAATTACAAAAGCAATCTCATTTACAACTGCAACAAAAAGAATAAAATATCTAGAATAAATTTAACCAAGGAGTTCTGAAAGACCTGTACACTGAAAACTATACGACACTGATAAGGGACTTCCCTGGTGGCGGAGTAGTTAAGAATCCGCCTGCCAACGCAGGGGACACGGGCTTGAGCCCTGCTCCAGGAAGATCCCACATGCCGCGGAGCAACTAAGCCCATGTGCCACGACTCCTGGGCCTGCACTCTAGGGCCCGCAAGCCACAACTACTGAGCCCACGTGCCACAACTACTGAAGCCTGTGTGCTTAGAGAAGCCACCACAATGAGAAACCCGTGCACCACAATAAAGAGTAGCCCCCAATTGCCTCAACTAGAGAAAGCCCGCGTGCAGCAACGAAGACCCAATGCAATGAAAAATAGATAAATAAATAAAATTAAATTAAAGACAGTGATAAAAGAAATCAAAGAAGACACAAATAAATGGAAAGTTATTTCATGCTCATGGACTGGAAGAATTAATATTATTAAAATGTCCATACCACTCTGAGTAATCTATAGATTCAATGCAATCCCTATCAAAATTCCAATGGCATTTTTCAGAGAAATAGAATCAAAATTTGTATGGAACCAAAAAAGACCCTGAATGGAAAGCAATCTAGAGACAGAAGAACAAAGCTGGAGGCATTGCGCACCCTGATTTCAAACTATATTACAAAGATACAGTAATCAAAACGGTATGGTACTGGCATAAAAACACACATACAGATGAATGGAACAGAATAGAGAGCCCAGAAATGAACCCACACATATATGGTCAATTAATTTACAACAAAGGAGGCAAGAATTTACAACGGGGAAAGAACAGTCTCTTCAATAAATGGTATTGGGAAACTGGAACAGCCACAGGCAAAAGAATGAAACTAGACTACTACCTTACACCATATATAAAAATAAACTCAAAATGGAGTAAAGAATTGAATGTAAGATCTGAAACCATGAAACTCCTAAAAGAAATCACAGGCAGTAAGCTCTTTGACAAGGGTCTTGGAAATGATTTTTTTGGACGTGACTCCAAAAGCAAAGTCAACAAAAATAAAAATCAGCAAGTGGGACTACAACAAACTAAAAAGCTTCTGCAGAGCAAAAGAAACCATCAACAAAATGAAAAGGCAACCTATGGAATGGAAGAAAATATTTGCAAATCATATACCTGATAAGGGGTTAATATCCAAAATATATAAAGAACTCATGCAACTCAACAAAAAAACAAGTAATCTGGTTAAAAAATGGTTAGAGGATCTGAATACATTTTTCCAGAGATGACATACAAATGACCAACAGGCACATGTAAAGGTGCTCAACATCACTAACCATCTGGGAAATGCAAATCAAAACCACAATGATAGGGTTTCCCTGGTGGCGCAGTGGTTGAGAGTCTGCCTGCTGATGCAGGGGACACGGGTTCATGCCCTGGTCCGGGAAGATCCCACATGCCGCGGAGCGGCTGGGCCCGTGAGCCACGGCCGCTGAGCCTGCGCGTCCGGAGCCTGTGCTCCACAATGGGAGAGGCCACGACAGTGAGAGGCCCGCGTACCGCAAAAAAAAATAAAAATTAAAAAAAAAAACAAAAAAACCCCACAGTGATATATCACCTCACACCTGTTAGAATGGCTATTACCAAAAAGACAAGAAATAACTAGTGTTGGTGAGGGTATGGAGAAAAGGGAACTCTTGTGCACTGTTGCTGGAAATGTAAACTGGTGCAGCCACTATGGAAAACAGTATGGAGATTCCTCAAAAAAACTGAAAATAGAACTACCATATGATTCCACAATTGCATTTCTGGGTATTCATCTGAGGAAAACAGAAACACTAATTTGAAAAGATGTATGTACCCCCTTGTTCACAGCAGCATTATTTACAATATCCAAGATAAAGGAAACAACCCAAGTGTCCACCAATGGACAAATGGATAAAAAGATGTGGTGTGCATGTGTGCGCACACGTGCGCGCGCACACACACACAGGAATACTATTCAGCCATAAAAGAGAATGGTATCTTGTCATTTGTGACAACACGGATGGACCTTGAGGTCATTATACTAACTGAAATAAGTCAGAGAAAGACAAATACCATATAATTTCACTTATATGCAGAAACTAAAAAACAAAGAAAAAAACCCAAGCTCATAGATACAGAGAACAGATTGGTGTACCTATGGTTGCTGGGGCAGGGGGTTGGCGGTAGGGGAAAGGTAAGCAAAATGGGTGAAGGGGATCAAAGAGGACAAACTTCAAGTTATAAAATAGATAAATCATGGGGATGTAAAGTACAGCACGGTGACTATAGTTAATAACATATACTGCATTTCTGAAAGTTGCTAAGAGGGTAGATCTTAAAAGTCTTTAACACAAGAAAAAAAAGAAAAAAATTAACAATGTATGGTGATGGATGTTAACTAGCCTTACTGTGCAATGTGTACAAATATCAAATCATGTTGTACACCTGAAACTAAGATAATGTTACATGTCAACTATACTTCAATTAAAAAAAATGGAGTAAGAAGTTACAATGCAGAGATCACAGGTATACTTCTACAGGACAAATATACTCATTTACAGCATGATATACCAATTCAATGAGGGCTGCATCCCGAGCAACTTAGATAGAAACGAAGATGCCATGCTCTGGAGAGCCGGGTCAGAGGAGCAGCACGTGGCTCCAGGACCAACACACGTATGTGAGGAGCACGAACAAAGACATTTTGTAAATTGTGAGAGCAGAAAAACAGCAGTATTTTTAAAACAAGTATGTTATTTTCTATAATCTAGTTTGTGTATAGTTTTGTGTATAGCCAAGCTAATAGAACGAATATTATACATATACTTTAGACTAGCTCATCTTCATTTTTAAAATCATGTATTTTTTTTCCGTCTTTTTTTTTTTTGGCCATGCAGCGCAGCTTGTGGGATCATAGTTCCCCGACAAGGGATTGAACCCGGGCCCTGGCAATGAAAGAGCTGAGTCCTAACCACTGTACCGCCAGGGAATTCCCTAAAATCATATACTTTCAAATTGGCCAAAAAACTTCTTTTTCAATTCTCTCATTGGGACAATGGGGGATGCTTAATGTGGTTATCTTATAAAGGTGGACACAGGCTATTACCTCAAAATCATCTCACTCAGTATGCTTCCCAGACATTCCCACTGTGCTGGGGTGCCAGCTCATCTGGGCCCCTTCTCCTTCTGCACTCTCCTTAGGGAAATGGCCCTCAGGCCCAGGCCTTTCACCCCACCCCTTTGCTCAAGCCTCCACACAGTACACAGTATGCTGGCTTGGCATCTCTGCTGCAGGTCCAGCAGGTACCTTACACTCATCACAGCCAGACAGAACTCTCGATGGCCCACAGTCCCCCCTCCACCTCCTGCCCCCCCATCCAAGCTGGTCATCCCTTAGCTCAGCAAATGGCCCCACCATCCACACAGTTGCTTGGGCCAGAAATCTGGCAACATCTTTGAAACTTATAGTCCTCACTCCCCCATATCCAATCTACCAGTAAGACCTGTAAACTCCACTCCTGGAGTGGACTGTAAATCCTCCGGCTTCCATCTCCATCAGCCCAGTGGTTCTGACCCAAGGATGATTTTGCACACCGCCCCACCCCAGAGGGCATTTGACAATGTTTGGAGACATGTACGGTTGTCAAAAGTGGGAGAGAGGTGCTACTGGAATTTATGGGTAGGGGTCAGGGGCTGCTAAACATCCTACAACGGATAGGATGCCCTCCACAACAACAAATTATCTGGCCCCAAATGTCAACAGTGCTAAGGCTGAGAAACCCTGCCCTAGTCCAAGTCAACAATGTCTCTCATTATTTTCATTGTCACAGTGTCCTTCATTATATTAAATATACTTCCTCTTACTTATCATTGGTCTCCTCACTACTGCAATGTAATCCTCTTGGGAACAGACCTTGGCTGTCTTAGTCCCCTCTGCATCCTCAGTGCCTGGCACACATAGGTGCTCTATAAATATCTGAAGGTGAGTAAGTAAGTGTGAAAGACAGAAGTAGCAGCACTTTGATTTAAAAAATGTAAAATGTAACAGAGAAGTTCTTAACCCTTTATGCAGTCAACAGCTTCAAGGTTTATAGACGTTTTGTCCTCATAACACCCATCATACTAACAACTCCTGTGCTGCTCACAGTGGGGACTTTCTTCCTTGCTCAGCTAAAAAGGAAAATGTCGGGCATATCCATGCAATGAGATCTTACACAACCAATAATAATGAGGTTTTTAAAGAATTCTGACATGATAAAATGCTTATAATGTGATTAATGGAAAGGGAAAAATAAAACTATGTATTTCAATCTAAATATATATTTATGTAACACACTCAGGATCAGGTGGTTATCTATGGACTGTAGGATTAAGAGTGGTTTAAGTTTTCTTTTTTCTGCTTCCTTGTCTTTTCTAGTTTTCTATTCATAAAAAAATATTAACTTTTAAAAAAGCAAGTTGCACTTCATAATGAAAATAAAAGCCAGGTCATAGGAACAAGCTAGAAGTGCTAGGACTGCAATGACCTTAAGCTTTTTAACTGAAGAGAATCAAGTTCTAAGAATAGCTCAAAAATACCCTTCTTCAGAATCTATTTTCTGAGTCAAGGAAGCCAGGAGAGAATCAACTTCTAAGAAAACTTGTCTGGCAAATGTGAGAGATGGCGGAGACCGCCTCAGGACTCCAGACCTGTGAGTATCTGCAGCCGGATCTGGGTTAGAGTCGTCAGCGAGGTCTGGTAGAGGACGCAGATGTTGCAAACCTTCTGCACCTCTGCAGAATCAACACGTTTACCCCCGACAGGCCTGAGAATATTCCGAACTGACGCCGACTTCTGAAATGCACGCTTCAGGAGAGCTGGCGTGGAGAGAAGGAGGAACCTGTGAGCAGAAGTTCAGCCATCTGCCAAACTCCACCCCATAAAGGGAAGAGCGCTTCAGTACAGCTCCTAATTTCCAGCCAGAGCCAGACAGTGAGGCTGCAGCTTCGATTCAAATCATCTCTTTTGGGTAAATCAGAAAAGCAGTAACAAAAGGTTTTTAGACAGAACACAAAGACCTCTTTAGAACAGCACAAGATCTGTCAGAACAAGCCAAACATATTTGATTCTTACTGTGGATTATTTTACTGTAACCACTTAACTTCAGAACCCACAAAGGTGAAACTTCCAAGGACTGAATTATGGGAAGAGGGGCAAAGGTGGGGGGCCTGGCTAATTCCCAATGTTCTGTGCTTTCAGAGGGAAGTAGGAGCATCAACCTCCAGTACTCATTATCAGTTTGGGGTTGTACTCTCGTTTTACACCTTCGCATCTATATCCTGCTGAAGTTACACTGAGCCCATGCTCACTGACAGCTACAAGATGGAGCTTTGTGACACACTGGGTGGCAGAAGAAAAACCACACCGAACCTGGCAATCTGCCATAGGCAAGTAACTCCACTGAATTATGTGTTAACAGCATTGCCTTACTTTTATCAGAGTGCGCAATAAGAAACCTTTCCAAGGAACCCATTAGTGACCCTGCAACAAGGATGCCGCTGAGGTGGTAGCCTGGTCAGTGACCACTACCACCTGTATAAGCAGCTCCACAGGGGAGATTTATTTTATGATTAGGAACTCAGAAAAGCTCTGCTTCCCCTAAGAAATAGATCTTCCTGCTTCTTCCTACTAATGAGAAGTAATAAAGGGTCCACAAATCCCTTTTCATTTTTGGCCACTGGAAATTCAGAGCCAAATGGCAGTTCAGAGATAAGCATGGCAGCCCTCATGGATCATCTGTGGATGTTCTCTACACACAACCTTGATTTTGTTCACATAGTTACATTTCCCTAGTCCTTGTTTACTATCCCTAAGGACTTCCAGTCACTGTTTTGCTAAATGTGAACTTGATTTAAGCCGTCTCAAAATCTTCAGGGGAGAAGTCAGAGGTCACATGACAGAGGGGAGCAGGTACACAGGGCCAGTCAGGCGCTGCACTTCGGGGAAGGAGAGCCACTCACTCTTCACAGGAAGCACATTCTGTGGGGACGCTGGCGGCACGTGGACCGGCTCCTGGTTCTCCAGCAGCTTCTTGCTCAGGATGTCACTGAAGAAGATCCGGATCAGAGGCACCCCCCACAGGAACTGCAGCTGTCTGGTGACCAAGGGCATGGACTCGTTAAGGCTAGGAGAGAGCAGGAGAGCGGGCACGTCAGTTCCACCTGCTGGATGGCCACATGGAAGGGTAGCTGGGGACTGCCACTCAGCACGGCAAGTAAGATGCTATAAGAGAAGTGGGATCCACAAATTGCCGCTGAGGCCTGGATGCAGAAGGCACCAAGCTCTTTCTTGGCTCTCTCGCTCCACACAGACTTCCTGTGCTGCCAGCAGCATTGTTGCTCCCCTCAGGCCCCACGTGTCACAGTCACATCCCAGACAGCCTCTATCTGTTCTTCATCCTAATTCCAACCTGTTTACCACCCAGTCGACAAAAGCTTCCTGATGCCTACGTAGCTGGCTTGCAGGCCTGGCCCACAGATCTCGATGAAAAGGGGGAAGTGGTGGAAGAGAGGCAGGCAGAGACAAGGAAGACGGTGATCTGCCTCCAGAACTCACCCATAGTCCACGGATTGGGAGAACCAGCCAAGGACAGGGTGCCAATGGGTAAGGTTGGATTTCTTCTGGGACACGTACTTCTGACAGTAGCAGAGCATTTGGGTGAGCAAACTCACAAATCCATCTGTCTCCTCCTCTAACACCCTGGGGCTGAGGGAGCCCAAGTGCAGGAGGTTGCCTACAAAGAGAGAAGGCTGAGTGCAGTAGGCCCGGACAGACACACTTCCTCACCTCCCAGCCCTGCTCTCTGCCTGGGGCTCATGCATCCATGTCTACGTGCAGGAAGAAATTCCACATAGAGAGGAACCCATCAGTGCTGGGGCTGCAGTGCTGTGCAGGGCTTAGAAACAGGCAGACCTGGCCTCAAATCCTGGCTCTGCCAGAGGCGAGCTAGGTGACCCTCAACCTACTTCTTGAGTCTGTTTGCTCATCTGTAAGACTGGAGTGATGACCCCCACTCTTGATGTGAGGACTATATGAAGTAACGTGTAAAATGTCAGGTACACAGATTTTTAAGTTAGTATAACATTTTCTTACACCAAGATTCTAAAACCAAGGGTCAACACAAGCAATGACCTCCTGAAGAATAGCTGAAAAGTCCTGGAAAAATCACTGTTATTCAGTGTTCACTGAATTTATTTAATGTTTTCTGTGAGGACTCTTACCATCGACTCCCTTAAAATGTAGCCCCAAGAACCTTTTTCTATGTAAAATAAATTTCCTCTAATTAGGCAACGAGAGTTGTGTACCTCTGCTGTTTCAAATGCTTCTCTATCCCCAAACCCTGTTCTCATCTAAATGAAAACACTGTAAAACAGGCATTGTAGACCTTACTCTGATCTAAGCCCCACCAAACTGTGCTCTCTTCTCTCTTGAGATGAGAATTATCCAGGTAACTCAACACGTTTTCATTTTTCCCTTGGCTGCCAGGAAGCTAAGGGCTAAAAGTTAACATTCATTTACAGTCACTCAGCTAGTTTGCCAGGCTGATGTATTTTTCCATGTGATTTTCAGTTTCATGTGTCTACTTAAACTGTTTACCTCATTACCTGTCTTTTATTGTAAGCACTTCCAACTTTTACTAAAAACAGCTTGTGGCCTCCAGAATGGTGGAAAGCTAAACACCTGGGCTTTTTCCAACGCCCAGAACACAATAAAATTCCAGCCATAGATACTTACCCATGAGACAAAGTGTATGGCATCCTTCTAAACTTTCACATACATCACGGCATCGATCTTCGTCTCTTAAAAATGTGATGAATTTACGGAGCGTGTCATGAGATTCTAAAATAGTGAGGCGCTGCAAACAATCGTAGACTGTTAAAGTGGAAGCTGATAAAAGGAGCTTCCCACCAGAGTGTGAACTCTATCCCCGCAGCTCACCCCCTAGCTGCCAAACATGTTATCCATCACCAAGAAGAAAATGAGCAAAGATGAGACCCTTTTTCTCTGGGCTTCTAACACAAGTGTGTCTACGGTAGCTACTGATTTAGGAGAACCATCAGGAGACGAGGTAGAAATTAACAGAGAAAACATTTTACTTTCTATTTTAAGGACAAAGGCAAAGATGGAATTGGGGGAATTCAGAGCCCACTCACCTCGGGGGTCACTGTGCTGAGATGAGTCATGAGAGCGGGCACAGACACAATGTGGATGAGGAACGGCCGGATCAGATTGTCTGAAAATTGTGCAGCAATCACAGGGCTAGACACAGACATATCACCTCACTCAGACACGTTTAATGTGAACCTGGAACAAAAGAACAACCCTACCAACACCCCCAAATCCCTTGGAATTATGCTTCACAGGACTTCTAGGAAGACTGAAGGCTGAAAATGGGCCCATTCACTGGGGGAAGGTTGAATAAGTGATACTTTAGTCTATGACGCAGCTATGAAAAATCAATTTACTGAAGTTTTACTGACATGAGAGAATCCTCATGCTATAATCAACTTTAAAAAAAAAAGCAGAATGAGAAACTATGTACACGGGAGAGGAGGATGGGGATAGTGACTGGAAAGGAGGAAAAGAGGGGCTTCTGGGGTGCTGCTACTGTTGTTCTATTTCACAGGTGGGGTGGTGCTTACATGGGTATGTTTACTGGGTGATAAGTCACCAATAACTCATACTTCAATTAAGCAATTTATTCTGAATATATATCCAGATAATAAATGGAACAAGGTGAGTTTGGGAAGGTTCCCATGGGCCATTAATTTAAGAAATATATATTGATCTTAGAATATAAAAATGTGTTGAATATATGAAGTATAAAGAGTAAGGAATAAAAAGTGTGGGCTCTGGAGTCAGATGGCCCAGGTTTAATTCCAGGCCCTGCCCCTCCCGGCTGTGTGACCAAGGGCAAGTGACCTAACCTCTCTGGGCCTTAGCTGCCTCGTTTATAAAATGGAGATACGAGAATGTGGTGAGGAGTCAGTTAACGTGTGTAGAAGTCTTAAAACAACGTGCAGCCCGTGAATGTTAGCTATTTGTATTATAGGACTTGGTGATCACATCTAAACATATCAGTTATGACTTCATAGACTTTTAGTAGTAGTATCTACATATTGTATGACAAAACCACGGAATATCTTGTTTTACAAGGTCCTGGTCCTGTTCAATTACTTACAAATATTCAGAGGAGGAAAAAAAGTGCACTATGCAAGAAAAAGGCTTTAAAACAGCCCGGCCTTAACAAGTGAGTCAATGGATTCTGACATATGGAAAGAAAAAACTTAAAATGATGGACGCTATTATATTCTCAAAGGAGAAGAAACGTGGTGGAATGACTAGATGATCCTCTTGGTGGATCACAGTGTGAACTGCAGCCACAGTGGGACAAGGGAAGGATGCTGGGACGGAAAGACGACTTGTGTTCTTGGGAGATGGAAGACAGGGGAGCTAGAGGATGCTGCTGCACTCCTGGGCTCAGGCGTCTGTGTGTCAATCCTCCGCTGTCTGTGACAGAGGAGAGGGTGGGCGATGCTGCTGGAATGAGCTGCTCAGGTGACTCAGGAGAGGGAGCCGCAGTAAACCTGATCTAGGAAAACATGTGTTACGACTTATTAAATACATCTCTATGTAACTCCTCTCAAAGTATGTAACGAACGTATGACTGTTACCTAGATAATTTGTTCTACTTCTTTAATCATAGCATAACCGGTTGGATTCTGTTCCTGCTATGAAGGTCTAGCCTCTAGAGGTGTGCTGTCCAATGCAGTAGCCACTGGCCACATGTCAGGGGCTACTGAGCACATAAGATGTGGCTAGACCAAATTCCTATGTTTTAAGTGTAAAATAGCCACCACTTTTTGAGGAATCAGCACGGAAAGAAAAATTAATAAATTATCTAATTTTAATTAAAATAATTTAAAAGTATTGATTCCATGCAAAAATGATAAATTTGGATATAGCAGTTTATATAAAATATATCGTTAAACTCAATTTCCCCTTTCTTTTGACTTATTTAATGTGGTTCTCATCATATTTCTATTGGACGGTGTACACCAGCCTTGTCCAATAGAACTTTTGGTGATGATGAAAATGTTTCACATTTGTGCTGTCAATATGGTTTTCAACTAGTCACGTGGCCCCTGAGCACCTGAAATATGGCTAATGAAACCAAGGAATTGAATTCTTAATTTTATTTAATTTTAATAATTTCCATTTAAACAGCCCCACGTGGCTAATGGTTAGTAGAAACCACAGTCTAGATCAGGTCGGCAAACTGTGGCCCACAGGTCAAAAACTGTCCACTGCCTGTTTTTGTAAATAAAGTTTTATTGGAACACACAGCCATTCTCATTTGTGTATGTACTGTCTATGGCTGCTTGGCGGCTACAGTGGCACAGTAGTTGTGACAGAAGCTGCGTAGCCCACAGAACTGAAAATATTTACTAGCTGGCCTTTTGCAGAAAAAGTTTGCCAACCTATAATCTAGACCATCATTTTTCAAATTGGTGTTCCACGGAAAATGATTCCACAGGATAGTAACAGACATGTTCCATCATCTAAAACTTGGGCGAGAGTACTCCATGTTCAGATATGTTTGGGTCAAATCAGGTTAAACAAGCCCAAAGAGTTTGCTACCACAGGATCTGTCAGAGCTTTCAGCAGGAAGGTGCCCGGTGAATTACCAGGAAGGGGCAGACGGGCAGCTTTACCAAGCTGGTTTGACCACAACACTCCTTCTTTCCCAAATTATTATTATCTTGGGGATTAAGATGATCTCAGATTATCAAGCTATCTTATTAACAACTCTCCAAGTTACTGCTCCTTTCAACAGTTTAAGTATGTTCTGGACCCACTAACAAGCACAGCTCTTTACACTTGGCAGTTCTCAGACTTGCTGGTATGATTTCTATCAGGAAATATTTAGCTTCTTACGTACTTTACATCTCCAAACTGACTAAGTGAAGATAAATATCACATCCTCTCTGGTCCTCCGAACTCTAGTGTCTTAAACCCGTGTTCGCAACACTATTCCCTGAATCCTTTCACCCTGCCCTTTGCTGGGCCTCTTTCAGCTCTTAGGTTTCCTTTATCAATTAAAAGCTCAAAAGGAAAAATGGTCATATCTTGGCCCCTGGCAGAATAAAAGCAATTCATTTTGAATAGCTTCCCTCAAATCATGATGCAAAAACATTCAAGGGTACAGCCGGAAGATTAAGAACAGGGCAGTCACAGATGTGTCATTTTCATCAAGAACAACACTTCCTGTAAATTCTAACAAAGTGGGCAAGCCCGTACCTAATACCAGTAACAAGAGAAGAAAAGCAGGAGGAGCAGGCCTTCAGAAGCAAGCTGGCTCCTCAGGCGCAGTTTCTTACTCACCGCATTGCTAGGGAAAAGGCTGCTGTTAAAGTGCCTTTGGACAGACAAGGCCGGGGTCTCGCCAGGCCACGGGTTAACAATACCTGCAAAGAACACTGTAATTAGTCAGGGGGCGGCGCCAACTTTATATTCATGTGCACGTAAAAAATGTACAGTAAGTGCTTCAGATAAAAAACTGTATTGGAATGTTTCTAAAAAAATGAAAGAAAAGCAATGGGTATGTATGGAGGTTCACTGTACCACTCTCTCTCTCTAGTTTAAATATTACACTTGAGTTTTAAAAAATAATAGTTAAAAAAATTAGCAGCCGATTAGAAGAAGACCAGATTTAAAATCTCAATTATTTTAGAAGCAATTCAGAGTTATGGCATCAAGTAGACTCTTCCACTGAGATGAACTGTCGAGAATCCACCTTTGGTTGCCATAGCACCTCGCAGGGTTGTCGTGAGGAGAAAGTGAAACCCAACCAGGAAACAGCCCATCTCAGTGCCAGGTCAGAGGACGGCCTAGATCAACGTCACTTCTCAAACTCAAGAATTCCAAAGTATCAATACTTTTCAACAGTGATTAGTTACATTTCTGACAATTCCCTGGATGTATGAACTGGCACGATAACATGCAGTGTGGACGGAAGGCTGTTTGAGGACACAGATCTAGAAAGACGATTCCAGACACCAACCAAGAAGGAACCTGAGGGAATACATCCTGAGACCTCCTTCCTGAGTTTAAGTCTCAAATGACTGGATTATGCTCATAGTCAAAAATGTAGCACAGTGAAGGGGTTCCAGTCACTGTCCTCCCTTCACACAAATCGAGAGGGTCTCAAAGCCGGGGTCGGGGAGGGAGGAGAGGGCGCTTCCTGCAGAAAGCGCTTCTGTGAGGAGGGCAGCAGATAGGCCGAAACCAGAGGTAAAAACCCAAGTTCAGGTATGGAGAGTGAGTCCCACATTAGGGATGGGGTCACAGACCTGCAGCACAGAATAAAATCCATGCTGGTTGAGATGGCCCATTATATTTGCACAAATGTGGTTCATGGCTGGTCGAAGACTCTCACCTAAACGAAGAAAAAAGTCTGAGAAAAAAAATCTCTGGCCATAACGTGAACTGTTTACATGCCCTAGGCCCCAGGCCGTAAGGAAATGAGAGCTCCTCTGGCTTGCCTTCCTGCTCCCCTTGGGTCTGGCACCAGAGGACAGGGAGACGCCACATCTCCAGAATTCTCTCTCCTGCAAGGCCCGGTGGAAGCGTAACCTCTTAGGGGACGGGACCTCTGGTTTCCCAGAAGTATCATCCCCGGCCTCCAAGCTCCTGCAACACATTTTCTACTTCCCTCCGAAAGCCTGGCACTTTCTACCCCCGGTGGCTACCTCCTCTCCCCACTGGGATACAAGCCCCCTGGCAGGGCCAGAACGCACCGAGTTCTAAATACCCCCCCAGAGTCCAGGATCATGACTTAAATGAACCCTCCTTCCTGGCCTGGAGCCTCGGCACACAGTTTCCTTTGCTTCAGAGTCCTGCCCCACCTCTGTGCTCTGCAAACTCCACCTCCCCCTGCAGCTCTCAGCTCAAATGTCACTGCTTCGGGAAAGGCCGAGCCCCACACAAGGCAAGGCCTCCCTCCCCACTGCACTCTCGTTTCTCCTGGGCTCTTCCTTCCAAGCGCCCCTTGTCACACTGTTGTCGTGACCTACATACCCACGTATACTACTCAGATATTCATATATATACGACCTCTCTTCAGTCTGTCTCCTCCCCACCCCACCAGGCTCAGGTGCTGGGAGGAAGGGCGGGCACACAGAGTTCAGCACCTAAAGCCCCTGGAGGGCAGTGACCTCTCCCCTATCTCCAGTGCCTGCAGAGCGTCTGGCACAAAGCAGGCTACTGGGTGAACGGATAAATAAAGTGAATGTATGAAACATGTAAGGCCGAGTTCAGTGTTCAAGGAAGAAGGCAGCTTTACCATGCAATTTTATGGGCAAAATAGAATTATTTGCTGCCGAATATTCTCCAAATGAAATGATGAGGCTTAAGTGAATATTATCAATCTGAAGGCTGAAGTGCTGTGGGAGTTGTAACAAATGGGCTCAGAGGGATTGTGCCTTCAAACGTAAATTCCAAGAAGGGAGAGAGCTGAGCACATGATACTGAACTTATCCTAGATACCATAGTGCAACGTCTCCATGTGTGTGGTTCTAGGGCCTTCCCTGAGGCTTGTGGCAGCAAAAATACTTCTTGAAAAGGTCCCCGAACTCTCCATGGAAACGCTACTTAGGAAAGATTTTGAAGCAAGTCCCACAGACCTTTTCCCCGGAGAATTTTCCATGTTGAAGTGTCTGTAAAGGTGACAAGCATCGTGAGGTACAGTGTGATGAGTTTGGAGTCTTGTAAAATTTCAGGCTAAAAACAATAAAGAGAGTAAGATTAAGACACACACCCTCCAGTCCAAGAGAGTAGAGCAACCGTTTTACAGCTTTTCTGAATGCAAACCAATGAGTCAGGATTCTAAGTCTTTATTCTTTTTCTCTTGAGGAATGATCACTCTTAAGAGTTAAACAACAGGGATTTCAGCACACTAGTGCTTGACCATAGAACTGAAATACTCTTGGGAATGGAGAATTGAGAATTCTTAGAAAACAAGATGACCAGGGCTGGCCTGCTACATGTATGCATTCAGTATTTAACATATGTATGCATGTACACTGGAGCAACAGAGTATAAATGCAATTGAACATAACAAGGACTCTGGGCTCAGACTTTTGGCTTCACCACTTACTAGCTGTGTGATCTTGGGCAAGTTTCTTAACCTCTCTGTACTTCAGCTTCCTCCTCTGTTGACTAGGGACAGTAACACTGCTTCCTTCGTTTAGTTGTTGTGAGAAATAAATGGATTCATGAATATAAAGCGCTAAGAACAGTGCCTCCCACACAGAGAACACTATGTATTGATACTATTGGCTATTACTATAATGATGACTATAATTCTTGCTTGATGGTGGGTCAAGGCCAAGAGAGCCATTCACAAGTGCCTTGAGAGAGATGTCTGGGAATGGATCACTGGGTGCTCTGGGGACATCTGCTCCATTGCTCAGTTACTACCAGAGTCCTTGCCAAGCCTCTGACCCTGAAACTTCTCCCTCCCCACGTGCAAAGTGGAAACGGCTGCTGTTTGTACACACTCACACCCCTGCCCACCTTCCCATAACACAAGGGTGGGCACTGGACCAGGCAGGGCTGGTGGCAGTACCCCACCCATCTTGCCACTGTGACCAGTTCAGGGTTGAGACCAGGATCCCACTGGACCTTTATGAGTCCTCCCAGATTTCTGAATTGATGGGGGAAGCCTCCCTTTTGTCTTTGGTCAAGACAGAGTCAGGATGTGAGGCTAGAACTGCCAGCTGCCATGATTAGAGTGGGAGAAGACAAGGTGATTCCAAAAGGGAGCACACATGAAAGGAGGAAAGAGAGGGAAAATCCAGAAGCCCCCTGGCTCTAGTATGTATTACCAGCTGCACTCATGTTGGGTTTCTGCACTGTAACAAGGGGCCTGATTAGTATAATTATGCCAGCTACAAAGTATCCACTATATCAAAAGCACCGAAAGGAAGACAAGATTCCCTGCCGTCAACACTGTGGTAAGTGCAGGTCAATGTTCAAAATACCGTGCATGAAAGAAGCTCTCAAGTTGATAACAGCATCTAACTCACTCTCTCTGGGAACAGGGGCTCCAGTAATTCTTTACTAGACTCCAACTGATACATCACAAAGGTATAACCTATGAGGGAACCACGAGGACTCTGAAAATACATTCTACAGGCCTCAAGTGGGAGGGATAGATTTACAGTCTTGTTTTTATTTTTTACCTTGAGCTGCTCAAGAAACTCACAGCAATACCACATAACGTCTTTGATCTGTTTAATCCATAGGAGGGTGAGATCCTTGGAAAGAGCCAGGGACACGTACCATACCTACAAACAGGAAAAAGAGAAATGTAATGGGCAGTTACAGGGATCAAATGACACACATTCCAGCTACTGGAATGGGACCAATTAGCTAGGTCCAGAGCCAGATAAGGCAGGGGGATGAACACAAAAATAAGCAGCAAGGAGGACTTATTTTAACACTAAACCCAAAGGTAAAACTAGCCTGGTAAGTGGATTTACCATCCTGAGTATGAGGCAAGAGCAGCACACAGCTTCTTGGATAATGCAAAGACTAAGGAATTCACCTGTACTTTGTTAATGTTTTCGATCCATTACTTACTTACACATGGGTGTGAACATGCAGAGTCACACACAACAGTCAGAACATTCAACAGGAATTTTCAGAGGTAAACAGGCCAGCTTGAGTGGTCGTGGGAGACTTTCTGGCTTCCGCCCCACTTACCTTGGGTTCATTCTCAACATCCATGCTGCTCAGGATGCAGCGACACAACTTCTCAAATCTCTGCAGAGAGGCAGAATGGGGGTTATAAATTCTCACAATGAATGGAGAAATCAGAAAGCAGCAAATGTTCCGTGGACCCCTGGCATGGATGTGCCGGCCTGACGCCAGATGACTCACATCGGGATCCTATTTAATTCCGACTTGTAGATGTGGAGACCGAGGATCAGAAAGCCTAAGGAAAGGCTCTCAAACTGGTGACCCACAGGCAGGATGAGCCCTACATGTGTTTTAGACTGGGGCTCCTTTTGAAAAACAAGATCAACCTGGCAAACTGGGCCTGGATTCCTGCAGACTAGCAGCTGTCTCCTAAATTGTGCTCAGCCATTTGCCATTTTGTAAGCACCACGGATGCTGACTTTTGCCTCACAAACTGTCATATCATCACTTTCATCTTGAAATGCGAAAGCAAGAAAAGTGGTACACCCTGGCTGTACCAACCCTGGATCCACCCTTAAAAGAGGTGTGGCCCTGGCTGCTGCTCTACCAGACTGAGCTGTGGTTTCCTCCTCTGTAAACAGGCGTCACCTCCCTGCGCCTGCCTGTCCTCATCTGCGGGACTGCGTTTACTGCCAGCGTCCTCCTCTCTCTCTCCTGCTGGGCTACAGGCTCCTCAAGGGTAGAGACCTTGCCCACTTTGTTTCCTTCTGGGGCCCCGTACCCAGAAGAGGGTCTGGCACAATGTGAAGCTTAGCAGTAATGGATGCCTAACCCCCAGGAACACAGAGGCCCTCCTCAAGGGTCTCCATTAGTACTGTTACAGATGACTAGCTGCTCCCCTGGAATTTTACTTTCTAGGCTGATTTTTCTAATTCCACAGGTAAAACTAGCCTGTTTTGTTTGGTTTGCAGGATTTTAAGAGAAATTTCAAATTAGCGGCCAATTTTTACAAATTAGAAAACTGAGTGTCAAAGAGCTCTGGAGTGTCTTTAAAAAAATCAGAGTATCAGTCCCCCAGTGGCTGGAGCAGAGGAGCGGCCACCCCTTTGATGGCACACCACAGCCCACCTCTTCCTCCAATGTCCTCACCACCGCCTGTCAGTTACCATTTATTATGACTTGTACCATGTTATGTCTCACAAATCTGCTAACCTACGCATCTGAGGACAAGTGCCTGTAAGAGTCAATGTGAAAACAATCGTGATGATTCCCAGCACTGGGCATAATCCCTACGAAACAGGTTCCAAGAAAACAAAAGGGGCAGGATGTGGGGGTAACAGAACCTGTCTCACAGAGTTGCTGTCAGGACTAAATGAGTTAATATCTATCAAATACTTACAAAAAGATCTGACACATAAGCACGATGTGGGTTTGCTATTATTATTTTACCTCATCATCCTCTTTAATTCTGAACAAGAACAGCAGTTTCCTGGCAGTCTTAAAAATACAAAGTGCACTTCTTTTACTGGACCCAGAGTCATCTGCTTTAAAAAACTCATCAATCTCTCTCCTAGGGAGGGAAGGGTAAAAAAAGACGTTTTAAATTAGGAGTTCATAGCAGCTGGAAGGCTGTTCAAGAACTGTTAAGAGAAAAGCGATCGGTTTTTGTGGGGTTTTTTTGCTATGAATTGGAAACAAGAGAAAACGTGCTGAGGAGCTCCTGACACCCACCTGATTTCTCTTTGCAGTCGACGCCGACAGAGAAAACTCCGTACGTGGGCCTGAATCTCCACGGCTGCCCTCTCCCGCTCCTTCTGCACCAGCCTTTCCTCTCGAGCCTGACGGGCTCTATCAATGAACCAAGCTCTCGAGGTCTGAGAAACAGTGAACATGTTTGCAAACTTGCACAAACCCTGCAAAGAAAATGGCAAGTGGCTGATGTAGGTCATTATACTAAAAACACTCACGGAAAGGGGCTCAGGAGCAAAGGGCAGGAAGGGACTTGGGCAGCAGCAGAAAGCTACTCGGGACCCCCCCAGCTCCCTCCCAAATGGCTGATAGCTGTCCCCGCACAAGTCCCAGCTTCCTGTCGGCTCCTTTCATGCAACTCCTCAGACCAGCGATGCTTTTTCCTGTATTAAGTTATCACATTTTTTTTTTTAATTTTATTTTTATTTTTATTTTTTTGCGGTACGCGGGCCTCTCACTGTTGTGGCCTCTCCCGTTGCGGAGCAACAGGCTCCGGACGCGCAGGCTCAGCGGCCACGGCTCACGGGCCCAGCCGCTCCGCGGCATGCGGGATCCTCCCGGACCGGGGCACGAACCCGTGTCCCCTGCATCGGCAGGCGGACTCTCAACCACTGCGCCACCAGGGAAGCCCAAGTTATCACATTTTTTTAAGAGAAACAACAGAGTGCCTGGCATAGGGTCTGGGCTCTGCAATGGTTTAATGAATAAACAAAGCATGAATCAATTCCAACCACAAAGCTCTAACTCAAACCAGGCATCCTCTAAGTCAAAGGTCCCTGGATATTTCACTGAGCAGTCAACTTTTATTTTGCCAAGTAAAGACTTGAGGGGAAAACATTAAACATAATTATTTACTGTCACCATTATTTTATTTATCCATTCACTCAACAAATATTTACTGATACCTACTTTGTGCCCAACACAAAAGAAGCCTTTCATTTTTTTTTAAAGGGCCATTTAAACACTAAAACAGCCAAAGGTACATGATTCCAGAATGCCAGACAATCCATTAAATCGAACATGTTTGGTTTTAGGCATAACTTATTCTGTTGTCCTCACCGTTCCCATCCTGCCAAGGGCTGAGGAAGACGTTAGAGTAGAAAGGCCCCCATCCACAGACTGGTATTTTTGGACTCTAAATTAGCCATTACATTTTAATCTAAATCATCAGTAACTGTCTTTTCCCAAAGGGATGGCTTTGGCTATCAGCCTAGAGCACATAGCACTGGTCCACAAAGCCTCCCACACTGAGATGATGTCTTTAGATGCTTGAAAACTTTGTCATTCTATCCAAAATATATAATCAGACCCACTGACATGGGCACTGAAATGAAATACTCAGAAATCTAGACTTCTTGTAAACCATCTCTTTACCAGGTTACCTCACTCAAAGCAGTGTCCACGTGAAAACATCAAGGATAAGAAGGCTCCTCCCATGTCAACACGTCGGGGGACCTCTGTGGCCCCTGTTCGACATTGATTCACATCTGTTAAACAGTAAGGCTTTTCCTACACGTGGGTCTCTCATCAGTAATTCTCAAGACAAACGAACATGGAGACGGTCCTTCATGGGGTGTCGGGGGTGGGGGAGGAAGCAGAAGAAAGAGCCTCTTCCCAATAGTAAAACAGGAGGTTGCACACAAACTGTGACTAAGTACCTGTAAGACCATCTTGAAACTTTTACCTGATGATGGGAGGGAGCGTGAGAAGACAGGCAATAAAAAGGTACCAGTCTTCCAAACCATTCACTCTGTCCCAGAAGTGGAAGTCTGGAGCACTCACCTGAGGACCTGCTGGTGACGCAGAAATGTCAGGTAATCAGTCATTAGTGATTTTGCACAGGGCTCACAGCTGAGGACATCTTCTCACTTCAGAGGAGCTTGTGTTTTCTGGCAGAAGCAGAAGAAAAAAAATCCAGATTTAGGATTAGTTTTCTAGGTAGGCATCATATACCTTCCTCACTGAGAAAAAGTAATAAAGACAGTGCAAAAACATCTGTGTCCTCTCTAGTTAATGTTGGATCTAAATGGTAGACGTATCTCCCCAGTCCTCACAGTTGAAAGGGAACAGGTTGATAATAAGGCCAAAGAAGTTGCTGAATTAAAGCTGTAAATGTTTCGTGATGGCAACTAAGAATAACAGAGGGGATGACATGTTTAAAAGCCATTGCAAATTACGTTTGACATTTTCAGCAAGTTGGAAAAATATTTATGTCTAAGAAACGAAAAGGAGGCTGGCTGCGAACCAACACTGTTACAGAGTCCAAGGTCATACTGCTTGCCACACGACAGGCCAATAAATCGAGAGACGAGTTGATGGGGCAAGGAACAGCAATTTTATTTGGAAAGCCAGCAAACCGAGAAGATGGTGGACTCATGCCCCAAAGAACCATCTTGCCTGAATTAGAATTCAGGCTTCTTTTATACTAAAAGGGGAGGGAGGAAAGTCAAACATTTCCTGGTTTTGGTCAGCCTCCAGAGGGGACGTGTTAATTTCTTCCTCCCTGCAGTCATTCAGAGGTGGGCCTGGTCAGGATGTTTCCTGTGAGCTAAACAAAGGTATTTTAGCTTAATGCTCATTACCTGGGAGGCAGGGTTCCCAGAGGTGGGCCATTATGTATAATTTAAGCTTACAGGCAACATCCCTTTAGTGATTAAGTTGTAATAGAATACAAAGGGTTCTTCCCTATTACAACATGATCCCAATTGCGTAACGAAAGAGAAAAAATCACGTGCGCAGGTAGATACAAAACTGGGGGGAAAAACACATTAGGAATGGTTGTTTTAACTAATGAATATAACAAAAGAGAAGCAGACTCACAGATACAGAGAACAACTGGTTACCAGCAGGGCGAGGGAAGGAGGAAGGGGCAGTATAGGGGTAAGGGATTAAGAGGTACAAACTGTAAGGTATAAAATAAAGTACAAGGATCTTTTGTACAACATGGGGAATATAGCCAGTATTTTATAACTACAAATGGAGCAAAACCTTTAAAAATTGTGAATCACCATATTATACACCTGTAACATATATAATATTGTACATCTGTAACTTATATATAATATTGTACATCAACTATACTTCAATATTTAAAAAAAAGAGTGGTTGTTTTGAGATAGGGGAACTGTGGGAAATTTTGCTTCCCTAACTAGTCTGTTTTTCGAACTCTCCATAGAAGGCATGTGGTAGCGTGACATGGCACTGTGAGTCAGAGCTGGAGCCAGCCCCTAGCTCTGCCGTGTACCGCGGGGGGAGATATCTGGGAGTCGTTCTGTCTTGTCCGTTAATCAGCTTAGAGGCCGATCATGAGCACTGAATGAGATGATGACCTCAAGCACCTATAGAGGTGGCTGACGGGGCGCACAGTCAGTAAGTCTAATTGACGTATTATTTTTATAGACACAAAGATTTTCTTTTTTAAAACTCTTCAGCAGAGGCCCTCAACTGTACAGGCACTATGGTTCTCTGGGTAGGAAATAACAGTCACCCGTTAAGAGTTTTTTCTATCCCTGGGTGTACTAAGACTCACCAGTCCTGTCACTTGGGCTATGAGCCCTGGGCCCTGTTTATACTGGGTAACAGCTTCAAGGTCCTGAGAGCTACAAACAAGCTGGCCCAAGCCATGAGCACAATGGTATACTCTTTCCTTAACGTGGAGACAGTCCCTCTTGGGGGGCAGGGGGAGGAAGGGGAGGGAGCGGAAGGAGAAGAGAGCACTTTTTCCCAATAGAAGAACAGGAGGTTGCATGCCAACTGTGACTAAGTACCTCTAAGACTATGTCAAAACTTCACTTCTCCCAGCGGGCCCTGCAGGATAAGATCCCTTCCTTGAGATCATCATCCCCTTGGTAACGCTGTATGTTGGTTTCTGTTTACACCACATAATGGTCTATACTTTGCAGTTCTTCAAATTCTTTCTTATTCACCTCCTCTACCTGCATAACATCTATTACAGTTCATCAATCAAATAAAAACACATCAGAAGTATTTATTAAGTACTTACTCTGCTAAATGCCCTGGAGAATCAAAGAAAAGGCTGTGCATAGAAAAGGCTGTGAGTAGCAGAGAAAGCCTTGGGTCAAAGTAGCCCTTGTTTCTTTCAAGTTCTGGTTCTACCTTATTTGGCCAAGTTACTTATCCTCTCTAGGCCTCAGTTTCCTTATCTGTAAATTGAGGATAATAATAGTACCTGCCTCCTAGAGTTGCTAAAAGGATTAAATGAAAATTTACCCTTCTTGTATCTCGATTTAGTCATCAGGATACTGTGATTACATTAAATGGGAAAATGTTAATAAGGAGTATCTGAAAGCAGATAGCAGGTAAGTGAGCTTTACCGTTCTGTCCCTAAGAAGTTTACAATCCGGTTAGGGAAACAAAAATGTTATAGGTGGAAAGATTAGGAAACAAGAGATTGTGGATAACCAAGATGGTCTGAAAAGCAAAAGGAAACATGTTAATTTGAGTACCCACTGCTTGTCAAGTCCTTTCTATGTGATCTCATCTAACAAGAAGAGCAACCCTATAAGATCATTTAATATCTCCCATAATCCCATTTAATATCTCCCATAATCCCCAAAGGGGCAGAGTCAAGATTTTAATACTGAGTCAGGACTCTACTTCTATAGTTCCATGAGACTGTTCAAAATCAATCTTTTCTGGATCAGGCCAACTTCATGGAGCACTATGAAAGAGCCTGACAGTCTAGAGAGTGTAGTCCAAAGGCGAAGCACCATATATAACTGCTGTCTGAGCCCAAGGCAATTTTCCGCCTATGGTGGGAATAGCTGGGCAGCTAGGTTGAATGACCTGGTTGAATGACCATTTGTTAGGGGTGGACCATGGATCAGACACTGTACAAATATTTAACCACCTCTGTCTTTTCAGCTCTATCAGGTCTCAACAGTCTAACTTTCTTAAGAATAAGCAACAGGTTTTGAAGGCTACAGCCTATGTAGGTGCATGCTTTCAAATCCCACCTTCACACAGAGAAAATGAAATGTAGAAAGGGACATGACTTGTCAGAGGTCACTAGGCTCCTGAATTTGAACCCACTTCTAACCCCAAAGCAATTATTTATTTTAAGTGCAACAGAGAAGACCCAGGGACGCCACTATTCACGGAAGGCAAAGAAAAATCGAGAATGCAAGGCTGCCCATGGGGCTAAAAGTCAAATTACTACCAAGCTTTCCTTTATTGGTATCATTAACACCAGCTGCTTCCATTAAGCGCTGAATGTCAGACATGGTTCTAAAAGTTTAATTACACAACACCCTTTTGTGACACGAGCTAATTACTCCATTTCACAGAGTTGGAAACTGGGCTCAGAGAGGAGACAGAATTCACCCAAGGTTACAGTGAGTAGGGTTCGAACTCCGGTTTGGGTGACTCCTGCGGCCCGGCGTCTTTCCCCGGCATCAATAATCACAATAACAAATCTTTTTCGTCCAGCGCTACTCCGCTTATAAAGGCCTATTGCCCCTTTTTATCTCATTGACCCCAGAGATAAAAAGGTCACGGAGAACCCCTCCCCCAGAGATAAAAAGGTCACGGAGAACCCCTCCCCACCCCCCACCGGAACCCGAAAGCCAGCCCCCAGCACCTGCCCCTCCGACTAGGAGAAGCAGGGACCCAGCCCCAAGGGCACCTCCCTCCAAGTCCCCGGCCCCACTACCCAGAGAACCCACAACCCTGTTGCCACTCGCTACCCGCAGGCCGTAGACCTTTATCCGCTCGAGGCCCCCGCGCTCGGGGTCGGGGCCGTAGTTTACCACCGCCTCAGCCCAAAACCCCCGAGCTCTGCCTGACCCGGGGCAGCAGCCGAGGCCCGACCGCCATCTTGCCCCGGGATGTTCACTCTGAGAGCTCCGCCGGGAAACAACTATCCAGTTCCGGTAAACGACAGTTCCGAAGAGCTTCTTCGTCCGGAAAGGAAAACCTCCCTGCACCTTGTCCTCCTCTATGGAAGCCGAAAAAGCGGAGCATTAGGAGCGGGATAAATGCCTGACCCAGCCGAGAAGAGATGCAACCCATTCCAACCAGGGAACTTTGAAGGAAAGCGGCCGATATCAAGGAGTACAACGGACCCTTTAGGAAGGTGTCCTCTGCGGGGCGGAAGTGGCGTGGCCGAGTGCGGAAATCCTCGCCCCGGCCCCGCCTCCGCCCTAGGCTCACGCGAGCTGGGTGTTTCCTGTCTTTCTTAGTCCGGGTTTGGAGACTCCGGCGTCCTCCGGCTTTTCATGGTAAGGAGGGCGTTGCCCGCGGACTGGGGGCTCTGGGCGGGCGAGAGAGCGGGACAGAGGTAGAATAAAGGGGGCAAGGACCGAGAGGAGGGGGTTTGATGAGGGGCTGTCGCGATAGGAGAGAGGCGGTTGGGGGAATGGATGGGGGGCGAGGCCGGGGGTGGGGGAAGGGCTCTGGACGGAGAAGTGTGCGTGTGTGTGTGTGTGTGTGTGTGTGTGTGTGTAGGTAGGTGTGTAGGGGACTGCTGTCCCTGGCTGTTGGGGGATCCGGGAAAGGGCATTTGGGCTCGTGGAGTATATGTGCATGGATGAGTGGGGGGGCAGTCTCTGAGACTTCAGCGCTGGTCGGAAATGAGAATTGGTGATTGTAAAGAGAACAAAGAGATGTCACTGAAGATAGACATCTGGAGTGGAAAATGAGGATTTGGGCAGGGCTGTGAAGGAGAATGGGTAATTTATGAGAGGGCGAAGTGGGATTCCTTGGAGCGGAGTGTTCGGGGTTTTTGGAAGTTATGCTAGAGTCGCTGGGTTTCGGTGAAGTGGGGACGAGGCTTACAAGTGCGTCTGAACACACGGGCCAGTGGAGCGGAGGAAAGAAACCGAGGGAGCCCGCCGGTGGGCGTGCGCTCGGTGCTGGGAACTCCGCGGAGGTATGATGCCAGGGTCCCGAGGTCAGGGTACCTTCGCCACGGAATCCAGCGCCTTAATTGGCGCCTGGGTACCTATCTAGTCACTTGCGTCGAGACCCGGGGTGGCCACAGCTAAGGAGCTGGGGATCCCTTACACTCTTCTAGCTGTAGGAAGTTTCTCTGTGCTTGGAATCCTTCAAGGGTCTGTTCTTGAATAGCCCTTTTTCCCTGGGTGGGAATGACCAAAGTTCAGCCCAGACCCTCTTTTTACTTGTTTGCCCCAAGTCTTTAACCTGGCAAGTGCAGTCTTTAGGGAACACCGGTCCCAAGGCCAATGTTGAAGAAAAAAAAGATTCAACCCGTATCTGACTTTGAACAGCTCCATTTTGTGCAAAGTAAGTTTCACTTGAGGGAGAGAAGTCATTAAAGCAGTGGCTCTCAAACGGTGGTCCCCAGACCAGCAGCATCACCTGGGAACTTGTTAGAAATGGCCAAGTTTTCTAGACCTACCAGACTACTGAGTCAGTCTCGGGGTGGGGACCAGCAATCTGTTTTAGCAAGCCCTGCAGGGGATGAGAGTGATGATTTCTTGATTTGGGCTCTGTAACGAGAGGTGCATGAGAGTGGGAGTCAGAGGATCCTAACAGTTCTGGTACTTACTTTTCTCCCCTTAAAAATGGGAGTGATGATAACGTTTTCCTCACTAGCCTGAAAGAAATAGGCCAATGGTTTGTGTGCACAACACAGGAAGAGAGAGTAATTCGACAAAACTCTTGGAAATATCAGTGGCTGTCCTGTAAGTTTTGGATGCAAAATAATGCTACAGTTATGTGGTTGGTTGAATTTCTTTTTTATTTTTTTCATAAATTTATTATTTATTTTTGGCTGCATTGGGTCTCCATTGCTGCGCGCAGGCTTTATCTAGTTGCGGCGAGCAGGGGCTACTCTTCGTTGTGGTGCGTGGTCTCTAGGCGCCCGGGCTTCAGTAGTTGCGGCACACAGGCTCAGTAGTTGTGGTGCACGGGCTTAGTTGCTCTGCGGCATGTGGGATCTTCTTGGACCAGGGCTCAAACCCGTTTCCCCTGCATTGGCAGGCGGATTCTTAACTACTGCGCCACCAGGGAAGTCCACTGGTTGAATTTAGTTTTGTTGAAATGGAACAGCAGACCTCTGAGTTGTAGAAGTGCCCTGATTTGGAGGGTAGGGGGAGTTTTATAATTAGCCTCAAGACAATGACTCTTAGCTAGTTAAAGAAACACCTGAGCTTTGTGGCTGCACATTAAAATCACCTGAAGAGCTTTTTAAACACTAGTTTGAGTTGCCGTGCCCTTCCCCAATTTGATTAATTGTTCTGGGTGAAGCCAAGGAATCACCACTTTTTAAGTGCACCCAGGTGATTCCAGTACAGCCAAGGCTGGGAAGCTCTGGCCTCAAGGACAACTTGAGCAAAAGGGAAACTACACTAAATACTTAAACATTTATTCCTTGAGGGTTATTCTGAAGATTATGGCTTTAACTTCATTTTACAAGTTAGGAAGCTGAGACTCGGTGAAGCCATTTGTCTGAACATCACACAGAACTGCAGGTTTAGGTTTGCTGAACTCTTATTCAGACTTTCTACACACATCTCCAACACACACACACACACGCGCGCGCGCGAGACAGGTCTACAGAGAGAGATAGAGGAAACTTCGAAGGGTGAGGGATTTGGTGCCTTTTTTCCTGTTGTACTTGCCTGGGTCTCCTTTTGAGTCGGAGGTTTTACCCCGTAGGCTGATTTTTATTTTTTAAGCATGCATACAGTTGCTGCTTGTCTGTGTGCGGCCTGAAGCTGTGAAGCAGGGGCCTGCTTTTGTTTCCGATTTGGTTTGTTTTTCTGTGTGGTCAGAAATTCATAGGGCTTATAGAGCCAGAGGTTGGGGAGCTTCTCCAAGACCAGGAAGTTAAATGTAGGCTGATTGGAGTGGGGCGACACAGAACTTTTAGAACAGCGGGTTGAAATCTTGGCTGCACATTGGAATCACCTAGGGAGTTGGAATTCTAAAGTGCTATTGCCTAGCCACACCCCCAGACCAATTGCATCAGAATTTCCCTGAGTAAGGCCCAGGCATCAGGATTTTTTTTAAAGTGGAGAGCCACTGTTTAGAATCAGCTGCAGTATGCTCAGGAGAGGTGGGAAAGAGAAGCCTGGACTTACTGATCTAACTGGAATAAACTTCTGATTGAGTAGAATCAGTAACCAATACTGCAAGTGTTAATTACCTCTGTTTCTTGTAACCAGTTGTGCTCTCTCCTGCCTCACCTCCCCAACCTCATTAACGATGAAACAAAGGCAGGATCCCAGCAAGGATGGCTGAGGAGGCCTCCGAAGAGAGGTTTGCTGTGAGAGGCTCATTGCCTACTGCTTTGTGTCCTCCGCTCCCTGCGACTCAGGCTTAGGGATGAACACAGCCAGAATCTTTTTTCCAAGGGCCTCTCCTAGTATTGAAGTGACTGACCTTTAGAAGGGTGGGCTCTGGTAAGGTTCAGGGCTTTCTCTGTCTACTTGGAAGTCTCAAGCTAGATCAGGATGGTTTCTGCCTTTCTCTCTTAGTGTTTCGGTCGAATGTCAGTAGACCTGGAAATGGACTTAAAAGAGAAGATAATTTGAGACTTGGAGCGCATTCCCAGATCATCGTAGTTTGAGTGCTTTGTGTTGCTCTGAGGCAGGGGCTGGGCTGAGTGCTCTCTGGGGCCTCGCAGCCCTGGAAGGTGTGGCCGCTGTCCCCACTCGCTAGACGGGACTAGACTCAGACAGCTGGTAAGTGGCAGGGCTTGGGGCCTAAACTCAGGTCTGACTTCCAAACCCAAGCTCTCAGCCACACATGACCTCCTGTCTTTCTTTCAGAGCTTTTTTGTACTTTCTGAAGAATGGGGGGGTGGGGCCCCCTTTCTCAATTTCTGTGTCATAGCTCTGTATATACCAAGCATGACCATTGATAAAACCATGGGCTTGGGGCCAGGCAGGACTTGCCCACATCCTTCACTCGCTTCCTCATCAAGACACCTCCGTCACCAGTGCACTTGGAGAAGTGACTGATTGTCTGTGGGCTGAGGTATCCAAGTCCACAAAATGAAGATAGTGATAACTGTCTTCCAGCATTGTTTGGATTTAAATGGTAGTATGTGGTGATAGAAATTAAAACGGTGGTATCTCCTGGAAGGGAGGAGTGGGAAAGGGTCAGGGAGGGGCTTTCTGGAGTGATGGAAATGTTCTCTATCTTGATTTGAGTAGGGGCTACATAGATGCATAAGTTGACCCAAACTCATCAAACTCTTAAAACTTAAAATACACTTTAGTGTATGCAAATTATCTTTAAATACATCAAACTCTTAAAAATTCTTAAAAACATCTCTTAAAAACAAACTTTTAAAAACATCAAACTCTTAAAACTTAAAATACACTTTAGTGTATGCAGATTATCTTTAAAAAGGTAAGGAGGGGCTTCCCTGGTGGCGCAGTGGTTGAAAGTCCGCCTGCCCGTGCAGGGAACATGGGTTCGTGCCCCGGTCTGGGAAGATCCCACATGCCGCGGAGTGGCTGGGCCCGTGAGCCATGGCTGCTGAGCCTGTGCGTCCGGAGCCTGTGCTCCACAACGGGAGAGGCCACAGCAGTGAGAGGCCCGTGTACCGCAAAAAAAAAAAAAAAAAAAAAAGGTATTGGAAAGCCAAAAAAGTACAGCACATAAAATTATTCTTTATGACTTTTTTTGTCTGTTTCACGGTAAGTGCCTTACAAAATGCCGTACCATTTTCAAAAACATATTCATTTTTGTATAAATTTAGATCTGAAATGGGTGCTTAAAAAAGTATTTCCGTTTGGGGGCAAATTTCCTTAACTAACCCCCTCCCCCCAAAAAAACTCCCAATCCATAATTATAAGCTTTTCTTTCCCCCCTGCTCCAGGTCTTTAGAGTTTTCTGAAACTCTTTACTCC